ACTATTGCAGTAGGGAAGAGGGTCCAGCATGAACTGAATGCAACTTTGCTGAAACAGAAGTTTGGAGGCTTTTTAGAGGTTGTGATGTGCTAAAGGTGCTGAGGAGTGTGAAGGGGTGGTTGGTCCTGCGATTAGGCCGCCAGGGTGTGTTAATCCATGCTTATCCAGGGGAGACGCATAATTCTGTCTTCACAACAAGCAGTAGTGTAAGAGAGCAAGGTAGCCACAGGGACTGGGAATGAGAATGATACTACCTCCTTGAATGTTTGCAGTTCAAGAGACAAACCCCAGGTCACTGAGAAGACAGTTCTCAGTGGTCAGACATTTACATCTCCAAGTAGCAGAAGAAGGGTTCATAATTGTAAGCTTTCTAAAGTAACTGCTTCAAGGTATGGTAGGGGGCTATAAGCTACTTTAACAAAAAGACCCAATGGCTCAAACAAAACAGAAGCTCAGCCCTCACTCACATAAGAGTAAATGTTGGTGACCAACTTTTTGTCTTCAACATAGGGCTGCCAAGGCTGCTCTAGTTGTTGCCATCCAAGCTAGCAGGAAGGGTCAAAACAGCTGAAGGACAAAAATTTCATCTTAACAAGCGGGCAGAAGTTACATACATCCCTTCTGTTCACATTCCATTGATGAGAACATCCACAAATGGCATGTCTAGGTGCACAAAGAGCTGGGAAATACAGTCCCCACCTGGGTAGCCACATTCTAACTACATAAAACTGTGGAAGAATAAGATTTGGGGCCGGGCGCAGTGGCTCATGCCTGTAATCCCAGCACTTTGGGAGGCCGAGGCGGGTGGATCACGAGGTCAAGAGATCGAGACCATCCTGGTCAACATGGTGAAACCCCGTCTCTACTAAAAATACAAAAAAAATTAGCTGGGCATGGTGGCGCGTGCCTGTAATCCCAGCTACTCAGGAGGCTGAGGCAGGAGAATTGCCTGAACCCAGGAGGCAGAGGTTGCGGTGAGCTGAGATTGCGCCATTGCACTCCAGCCTGGGTAACAAGAGCGAAACTCCATCTCAAAAAAAAAAAACCAAAAAAAAAAAAAAACCAGATTTGGTGGGCAAATAACAACTGCCACCACAGTCTGCCCTTCTGGCTGGCAAATACCCACCCTTCCAGATATAGAACATATGTCTATGTTCCTTCCAAAGGGAGGCAACCACCTACCTCCAACTTAAATGTCCAGGATCTTTGAGCATAGCTCAGCCGTTTTGATTGCATCAAAATGTGGCTCCTTATAGTCTAATGAACCACGATTGTAAGATGCCCAATAGCCAATAGTGGAGCAAGAACGGCGTAACTTCCATCAGCCCCCATTGGAAAGAAAAGGAGGAATGGAAAACACAGCAATCACTTTCATAGGAATGATTGAATCTTGATAGGCATGAATTGGAAATGCTCCCTGCTCTGAGAGTGGAAAATTGTCATGGTTAGTCCCGGCTGCCTCCGGTATTTTTTTTTTTTTTTTTTTTTTTTTTTGAGACGGAGTTTCACTCTTGTTACCCAGGCTGGAGTGCAATGGCGCGATCTCGGCTCACCGCAATCTCCTCGTCCTGGGTTCAGGCAATTCTCCTGCCTCAGCCTCCTGATCAGCTGGGATTACAGGCACGCACCACCATGCCCAGCTAATTTTTTGTATTTTTAGTAGCGACGGGGTTTCACCATGTTGACCAGGATAGTCTCGATCTCTTGACCTCGTGATCCACCCACCTCGGCCTCCCAAAGTGCTGGGATTACAGGCGTGAGCCACCGCGCCCGGCTGCCTCCGGTATTTTAATAACTCCCCAGTCCTCTGGAAATAACTCCTCAGTCTACAGTCCTCTCAGGCCCTGACTTTACCCTCTGGGAGTACTATGGCTTAGATATTTGTCCCCTCCAAATCTCATCTTGAAATGTGATTCCCAATTTGGAGGTGAGGCCTGTGGGAGGTGTTTGGGTCGTCAGATCCCTCATGAACGTTGGTGCTGTCCTCACAATAATGAATTTTCATTCTAAGTTCGAGCAAGATCTGGTTGTTTAAAAGAGTATGGTACCTGCCCCCTCTCTCTCTTGCTTTCACTTTTGCCATGTGATGTACCTGCCCCCTCTTCTCCTTCTGTCATGATTGTGAGATCCCTGAAGCCCTCAGCAGAAGCAGATGCCAGCACCATACTTCCTGTACAGCCTGCAGAACCATTAGCCAATTAATCCTCTTTTCTTCAAAAATGACCTAGCCTCAGGTATTTCTTTATAGTGACGCAAAAAGTAGACTAACACAGGGATATGTCTCTTGATCCATGATCTTCCTTGGCCATATCTAAAGTGGCATTAGGGGCCACACCTAGGGCTGCACCTAGGTGCAGTGGCTCACACCTGTAATCCCAATACTTAGGGAGGCCAAGGCAGGAGGATCACTTGAGCCCAGGAGTTCAATACCAGCCCAGGCAACATGGCAAGACCCTGTCTCTACTCAAATAAAATAAAATAAATAAAATGAGATAACTGGCATGGTGGTACATGCCTGTGGTCCCAGCTACTCTGGAGGCTGAAGCAGGAGGATCATTTGGGCCCGGGAGGTAGAAGCTGCTGTGAGCTGTGATTATACCACTGTACTCCAGCCTGGATGACAGAGTGAGACCCTATCTCAAAACAATTTTTTTTAAAGTGGCATCAGGGCCGGGCATGGTGGCTTATGCCTGTAATCTAACACTATGGGAGGCCAAGACAAGCAGATCATTTCATGTCAGTTCAAAACCAGCCTGGCCAACATGGTGAAACCCCCATCTCTATTGTAAATACAAAAATTGGCCAGGCATGGTGGCTCTTGCCTGTAATCCAAGCACTTTGGAGGCCAATGCGGGCGGATCACCTGAGGTCGGGAGTTCAAGACCAGCCTGACCAACATGGTGAAACCTCATCTTTACTAAAACACAAAAAGTTAGCTGGGTGTGGTGGCGGGTGCCTAAAGTCCCAGCTACTCAGGAGGTTGAGGCAGAAGAATCTCTTGAACCCAGGAGGCAGAGGTTGCAGTGAGCCAAGATCATGCCACTGCACTCTAGCCTGGTGACAGAGCAAAACTCCATCTCAAAAAAAATGAAGACCTGCCTCCACCCTTCCTCAGTGATTCCTTTAATATATATGTACATATATATTTATTTATATTTATAGAAATATATAAATATACATATGTGAGTCCTTCACATCCATATATATATATATTTGGGGCATATATATATATAAAATATATAAAATATGTATATATTTTATATATATATATAATATATATATATATATATATATTTTTTTTTTTTTGAGTTGGAATCTCACTCTGTTACCCAGGCTGGAGTGCTGTGGCACGATCTGGGCTCACTGCAACCTCCACCTCCTGGGTTCAAGCAACTCTCCTGCCTCAGCCTCCCGAGTAGCTGGGATTACAGGCACGCGCCACCACGCCCAGCTAATTTTTGTATTTTTAGCAGAGACGGGGTTTCACCGTGTTGACCAGGATGGTCTCAATCTCTTGACCTCGTGATCCACGGCCTCAGCCTCCAAAATTGCCGGGATTATAGGCGTGAGCCACCGCGCCCGGCCAGGTTTGGCGTATTAAACACATTTTCAACTAATGATATTTTCAATTTACAATGAGTTTATTGGGATGTAACCCCATCATAAGTAGACTAAATAGAGGAGCATCTGTACAAAACAAGCTCCCTACCCCTCCACTATTTGCCTAAAAGCGGGACGTAAATTTTCAAAGATGTCCCACCGCCTCTCTACCAAGGACAAAAGCTAATCACCAGAGACAACTTTAGCACTAGAACCTACGTAACACGCTTCGCTCACTACCTGTAGCTATCATTAGTTTCTCATACCTCTACCTTCAGTCTGTCGCTTTCGGAAACCTCAAACTGCTTTCCTTTGTCCTGTCATTTCTCCACAAATTTATTGTTCTTTATTGCAAACGCTACGTAATCCCCCATTGTAAACCACGTCTTTGAGTTACTCTTCCTTGAGTTTTCCCCATGTACGTGTGAGGTGTGCGTTACTAAAATTTGGTTTTATCTTGCCAATACGTGCTTTGTGATAAGAACCTAAAAAGGCGGAAGGCTATTTCCCTCCCTACAGCCCCAAACAGGGCTTGAGATGCGGGCTCCGTTCTTTTCCTTCAACTCCTCCCTTTGTAGATCGCACTCGGGTCATCCACGCCCTTTTTTCATTGAGCAAATATATCGGATGTGCCTGGGGTTTTCTTAGGTACATTCCAGGCCCAGGGGAAATAGCTTCATTTTTTTTTTTTTTTTTTATCAGCCTCCTGAACCAGAAGAGGTTCAGAGTGACTCCCACAGTTTGACTCTTGAACTTGGAAATTCTCCAAACTGCCTCAGCACAAGGCTGCCCTGGTCGGTCTTCGCAGCTTGCTTTCTGCAGGGTACCCCGTCGGCGCGGCGCAGGAGCCTCGCCCCGCTCCCCGACCGCTGCCGGCGAACGCAGGCGGACCCCGGGGTTGGCAGCCAGGGCGCAGGCCGGGCCCGGCGCGTTCAGAGGCATCGTCTCCGAGCCACGGGGCCTGACCGCCACCGCAGAAGGCGCGCGGGGTCCCCCGAAGTTCCCCTTCTCCAAATGTGCACCTTCCTCAGGGAGACCCTGTGCCGCTGAGGGAAAGTCACCACTCAGGGTTCCGGGCCGAGGGCCAGATAAAAGAGCTGCCACCAGCAAAAGAAAGAAAGAAAAAAAAAAGGCACGAAGAGCAGGTGGGCAGATTCCCAAGGCGGCTTCGCCCACTAATTTTGCCCAAAGATGACTCTCAGGTTTCTGAGCTTGTGCTCCGCCGCTGTTGAGCAGGAACTCGGTCGGCGCTCCGATAAGCCCATGACGGGAGCCTCCCCTTCACGCCGGCACAGGCGGAAAAACGACAACGCGCCGCCCTCGGAACGCGCCGCCCGGCCCGGCGCCGCGCAGCCTCCCGCGGCGCTCCGTGCCCTTCCTTTTGCCCGTCTCCAAGATGGCGGCCGCCCCGGCCCGCCCCTCCTCCTCACCGCGCAGAGCCGCGCCGCGCGCTCCCGCCGCCCCTCCCCGCGCGAGCTCCACCCAGGTCGCAGGCAGCGCGGTCGGCGGCGGCTGTTTCCCGCCATTGTGCGAAGTGGAGGCTGGGGGCCGGGACGCGCCGGCCTGCCCGTCGCCAGCAGCTCCTCGGCGGCCCTGCTGCAGCCGTCCTCCCTGAGGCGCGGAAGGCCCGTGCCCGGCCGCTCCTTGTGCGTGGGAGGGCGCGGGCGAGGAGCGACCAAGCAGCTGAAGAGGAGCTGGGCGCCGGCCACCCGGCCGCCCGGCCGCGCTCGGCCCGCGGATCGCCGCCGCCCGGGCCGCGCCGTCCCCGGCCGCCTCCGAGATGCCGTGTGGGGAGGACTGGCTCAGCCACCCGCTGGGAATCGTGCAGGGCTTCTTTGGTGAGTGTCGCCGCCGCGGGGCGGGGCGGGCTGGGCCGGGCGGGCCGCCGAGTTTGCCGAGCCCCGGGATTCGGCCCCGCTGCGCGGCCCCCACGCGGGACCACCTGGAGGGCTCGCGCGGCCCGAGACGGCGCCCCGGGGCCTGCGCGGGCCCCAGCTGGGGCAGCCTCTGCCCCGGGCGCGGCAGGCGGGAGCCGGAGCCGCGGCCGCAGGTGCCTCCCACCTGCCCGAGTCGCAGTTCGCGAGCCGCCAAGGTGAAGCCGTGGGGCGCGGGCTGTGATTGACCGCCTCGCTCCCGGCCTGCGGCGCGGACGGGGCCCCCGGCACAGCCAACTCGGGGAGGTCCTCGGACCCTGGGGAGGGCCCGCAGAGCCGCGGGCAGGGAAAACCGCTTTCGCCTGTGGAAGCTCGCAGGATATTTCAAAACTTCCGGTTCGTCGGGGAGTGCTCGCTGGCACAGAAGTTGGTTCTAACTCCCGTGTCACCCTCATTCTTTTTTTCAGAGGCAAGCTTTAAGGTCCATAGCTTAGTTTTCCTGTTGGGGTAACTTTAGAACCCATCTAGTCTGGATCTGCTCCTGTCCCAGAGCCAGCAAGAAATACTGAGCTACTTGAGTTTGTACGTAGGGCTGAGAATGCTGCAGGCGAGCTTAGTAAATTTTGGTTGTGATTGCTGTTGCTACTTTTCTGCGAAGGGTACACAAAGAAAAAATTGTATTTGTTGTCCTTAACTGGGCATTTTGACAACCGTCCCATTCCCCAGTGTCTTTTTGCACGTAATGAGTGGTGGGGTCAGACCCAAGTAGAAATCACTGTAGATGGCAACACCTGATTTGTTGGAGTTAACTTAGAGCTGTAGAGCGGCCTTAGCTCCTTGAAAACACCGTGGGGTACTTGGGAGAAAAGCCCGTAGGAAACTAAATCATCCTCAGCAGCCAAAACCGACGGCAAACAGTTTATGGTATTTCTTAATGGAAGAGCCTCTAGTCCTCACTCAAGAAGTCCTTATTAATTTATCTGTTATTTTAATTAATTTAGTTATCTGGTTTCCCAGGCTGAAACTAAAGGCATTACATTAGAAGAAAGCCTGGATAGGTATCCGGACTTAGCCAGTGAACACTGAACCTGATGAAGAAATTTAAAACTACCTACATATTAAAAAAAAATAATAAAATAAAATAACAAAGGCAGATTCAGTGTATAGCAGTCAAGGGTGCTTTGAGAAAGGGGCATGTATTTCTCCACTAAATCCTAGTAATTTATGTTCATAATAATCCTAGAACTGATAATCGATGCTCAACATAATGACCCAAAAATGTCAAGTGAAGATTCAGTTATAACATTGATTTAAGAGGGTGGAGATGCATAGATACTTTTTAGGAAAAACCCTTCCAAAGTAAAAAGGTTTGGTGCTTAAAGGGTTACATTTCAGTGACTGATATTAGAATATTCGCTTATGAAAGATACTCCATACTCTGATTTTGCTGGATAAATGAGATGTTTCATATTTGATAGAGATTTGAATGTATTTTTGTCAAATTTTGTCTCCAAAGTATATGATCCTAACGGACACATCATCATGGTACAGAAAGGTTATAACTTAGATACAAATAATAGCTTTAGAGTATTTTATAAATTTCTTGGATTGTTGTGGAACCTGAAGTTTGTCGATGTCTTTCCCTTGTTCCCATGTAGATTGTCTCTCACAGAGAAGTCATAAAGTGTTTGTAGAAGCTGTTGCTGTATTTTCCTATCACTGTGACTGTATTGCACACCTTTATAATAATAGCATTACAAGTATTCTTGTGTGAGAACTTAAACTTTTTGGTTTAGTAGGAAATTGTCCCCCCACGCCCCCCCCATAGAAAGGTAATGCTTATGTATTGTACAAAAAGAAAAAAAGCAGTTCAGTAACATACACCAGAAAACAAAAGATCTTTAAAGATCCTTCATCTTCAAGATACCATTTGGTTCGTGGTTGTGTATATTTTCTCTGCATATATTTAGACCGTTTTTTAAAACTGAAAAGTGCAGTTTTGTTGTGTATATTATTTTGAAATAACACATTTCTTAATATACCTTGGACATCTTTCCAACTGTATTGGAATCTTTTTCCAATTCTTTTTTCCTTCTTTTTTTTTTTTTTTGGAGATGGAGTCTCACCGTGTCACCCAGGCTGGAGTACAGTGGCACCATCTCAGCTCACTGCAACCTCTGCCTTCCGGGTTCAAGTGATTCTCCTACCTCAGCCCCCTGACTAGCTGGGATTATAGGCATGCACCACCACACCCCTCTAATTTTTGTATTTTTAGTAGAGACGGGGTTTCACCATGTTGGCCAGGCTGGTCTCGAAATCCTGACCTCAAGTGATCTCCCCCCCCCTCAGTCTCCCCAAGTGTTGGGATTACAGGGGTGAGCCCCATTCTTATTGTCCTTGTCATATAGTGTTGTATAAACTTACTAACCCTGTCATATATTTTAGGTTAGGTGTCACAATAATCTAGAGCTGTGCAGTCCAGGGCAGTAGCCAAGTGTGGCTATTTAAATGTAAATTAATTAAAATTACACAAAATTACGAGTTCGATGTTGCTAGCTAACCACATTTCAAGTGCTCAGTAGCTACATGTGGATGGGGGCTATTGTATTAACATAGATCTGGAATTTTCTTAACATCAGGAAGTTCTATTTACAGCGCCGATCTGGAGTCTGGAGTATGCCACATTTTAGTATATGATGCTAGTTTTTTTTTCTTTTCTTTTCTTTTTTCTTTTCTTTTTTTTTCTTTTTTTGATAACCAGCTACTCACTGTTTCGGGATTTTAATTTGGTCGCTGTATCCTACCAGTTCGAGTTTTTGGTGTCTTCCCCGCCCCCCCCCCCCACCTCCCCCACCTCTTGTTGCCCAGGCTGGAGTGCAACCTCCCACTCTCAGGTTCAAAGGATTCTCCTGCCTCAGCCTCCCAAGTAGCTGAGATTACAGGTGCCTTCCACCATACCTGGCTAATTTTTGTATTTTTAGTAGAGATGGGGTTTCACCATGCTAGCAAAGCTGGCCTTGAACTCCTGCCTGCCTTGACCTCCCAAAGTGCTGGGATTACAGGTGTAAGCTATGACACCTGGCCCAGACCTTCATCTCCAATGTTACTGTCATAATTAAGGCCATTGTAGTCTCTTTCCTGGATGCTGGAACAGCCCTCTAATTGTTTTTTGCCTCTAGTCTTGCTTCTCTTCCACCTTCCACGCTGGAACCAAGTCCTTCAGTGACTTCTTTTTTTTTTTTTTTTAAATATTGCATTTTAGGTTTGGGGGTACATGTGAAGAACATGTAAGATTGTTGCGTAGGTACACACATGACAGCGTGGTTTGCTGCCTTTCAGTGACTTCTTATTGCCCTTCCTATCTGATCCAGGCCTTTCCAAGTGATTTATGAGGCCCTTGTTGGCTCCACCTTTGCCTTGCTCTGAGACTTTATCTCTGCGGGTCCCCTCCTCATGCTCTCCATCCCAGCCGCCCTGAACTTTCTTTCTGAGTTCTTTGATTTTGAACCTTTGTCTAGGTCTTTTGCATATCCTGTTTCTTGTGCCTGATTCTCCCTTCCATCCATGTCTACTTTTCTGGCTAAATCTTACTTTTCCTTTGGGAACCTAAGTTAGGTACCAAGGTAGGGTACCCCCTGCTCAATGTTACTGCAGGATCCTATTATATATGTCTTTGAAAATTAGTTTGCAAAGCACATTGTTGAAATTCCTTGTTTCCAAAGTTCCTTTACTGGATCTTGACTATGCAAAATCAGGGCCTGTTTCTGCATTATTCACCATTATATCCTAATTTCCTAGAATGTGCTTTGTACATTGAAAGTGTTCAGTGGACACTTGCTGAACAAAAGCAGTGGAAAGACTGATTAATCAGAAATGTTGTTAATTGAAATGGCTACTGAGATCACAAATCTCAAAATTTTTCTTTTTTTGGAGTCAGGGTCTTGCTCTGTTGCCTAGACTGGAGTGCCAGTGGCGTGATCTTGGCTCACTGCAACCTCTTCTTCTGGGTTCAAGCCATTCTCATGCCTCAGCCTCCTGAGTAGCTGGAACTGTAGGTGCACGCCACCATGCCTGGCCAAATTTTGTATTTTTAGTAGAGACAGGGTTTTGCCGTGTTGGCCAGGATGGTCTCATCTCCTGACCTTGTGATCCACCTGCCTTGGCCTCACAATGTGCTGGGATTACAGGCATGAACCACCGCACCTGGCCTGCAGTAACAACCTTTAACCGTTTCTGCTTTTAGAAGGTTTTTTTTTTTTAAATTGAGACAGAGTCTCCCTCTGTCGCCCCTGTTGCCCAGGTTGGAGTACAGTGGCATGATCTCGGCATGAATTCCTGGCCTCAAGTGATCTGTTCCCGCCCCCTTGGCCTCCCAAATTGCTGGGATTACAGATATGAGCTGCTTTACCCAGCCTCTTTTGCTGTTTTCCCTTCAGTCATTGGTTAGACCAAGATCATTATTCTGGTTGTATTTCAGGTTCTTTGTATCTAACAGAACTAGGCTAGCTCATGCCAAGAAGAGCAGTGTTGGTGGATTGGGCAGAGCAGACTAATTTATCACTGGCATTTTAGAGAATTTAAAGCAATAATAAAATAAAGGTAATTGGTCTGCTTTTTATTATCGTGAATCTAAACAAACAGTCCATGCCCTTATTGTCCGTACCCAGCTTGGATCTCTCCTACCACTCTGTCCTTGGTAGGCCACTGAAAAAAAGGTAATTTATATTAAGGCTATCAAACCTAATGGCAGGGAGAGGGATTGGGTATTCCAAGAGACTGAGAGGACTCAGGAACTGGAAAGCAGGCAGTAATCCAAGCAACTTAGTATTTCTCTCTTAGGCTACATTCATCTCTGCACACTTAAATTTCTCTTTCTACTCCATGTTTCCCAAATTTACTTGTTCTCAGTTGCAACCCACGCTAGCTAGCATCTTTATTTTCAGGCATAGAAACTCTGATTGGCA